CAGCCCACATCCTCTCTGCCACCCATCCCAGCCCCCCACTCATATTCCCTGGAGTGATGGCTGCTTCCCAAGATCCCACATTCCTAGCACTGACTAGGCCAGCACACCCAGGAAGTGCCAAGCTGCTGAAGGGATGGGGAATGATGGGCTCTCCTTGGTCGTTTCTGGATCCAGCTGTGAGCTAGTGAGTTGGCGCCTGTGCCCACCCCACCAGCCACATTCCTGCTGAGGAGTTCTCCCCCACCCCCATGTTCTCTCCCCTCCCATCTCTCCCTCCAGATCTCTTGCTGGAGACCTTATGTCACTTCCTTCTATCTGGGCTTCCAGTCTGGGGGCCCCTTCCTCTGTTTTCCTAAGGGCAGCTTAGATTTTGATAACTGATGGGCCACAATGGGGAGGGCAGGGCAGGGTCTGTTTGTGTAGAGTAATTGAGGTCCCACCTCCCACAACCTGGAGATTAAGCTCTGGGGGAGGGGAGGAGAAAAGAGCTGAGGTGGGGTAATCTGAAACTCTCTGTCAGGATAAATTGGGACAGTATCCCCATGCTTTCCCTCCCCCACTCCCCCCCCAGCTCCAGGCCTCCACCCACTCTGAGTACTTGCTCCTGCCTTAGTCCTTTCAATTGAAAGGGGCTCTCTGCTCCAGGCCTCCATGCCCTGTCCTGAGGAGGAGAGAGAGAACACGTCCTCTGCTCCCGCCTTCCCAGGAGCCTTCCCAGGACTGCCTGGAAGACCGGGCACCTGGTTCATTATTCAGGTGAGGCCTGAGCAGAGAGGCTTTGAGCTCCTGAGAGCGGTGGGAGGCCTGGTCTGCCGATGAGTCCCCAGGAGCCTCCCGCAGCGCTTTCCCAGCTGCTTCCCCACAAGGGGAGCCCCCAGCGTGGAGACCGCTGGGTAGATAAGATTTCACCCGCAGACAGCTGTGGAGCTTTCCTCTCCCTGGGCATTAGGGGAAGGGGAGAGGAGGGAGCAAATCTTCTGCTGAAACCCCAGCTTGGCACTTCCTTCCAGTTCCCTCTGTCATTTCTACCATTCTGTGTGGCTGTTACTCCCCCGCGCCTGGGGAATGCAAACCAGCCCCCTTCCTGCGTGGAGAGAGCTGGGAGTGTATGTGTGAGTGTGTGTGTGTGTGTGTGTGTACACATGTACATTTGCACACATGCATGGCAAGAAAAACACCCAAGTCTCAGGGCCAGGCCATGAGGATAAAGTTCCTGAAAGAAGCCAAGGGTACCAAGGATGGAACGGGACTGAAGTGGGCCATGACCTTCAACAGTGAGAGGAACATTCGTGCTGGGGCTGTGGTGGCCCGTGCCTGTGTCTCCACCCAGCCTCTTCAAGTCATGGGCCGCAGGGGCAGGTTTGGGGTGCTTACTCTCACCTGCTTCTCCTCCCATACAGTTCCGGGGCCGCGCCAACCTGCATGTGTTTGAAGACTGGTGTGGCAGCTCCATCCAGCAGCTCAGGAGAAACCTCCACTTCCCTCTGTACCCCCATGTGAGTGCTGTGGGCCCCCCTCTCCTTTCTCTCTCCACACCATCTCCTCTTCCTCTGCCTACTTCTGTCTCTTATCCCCCCCACCCATCTTCTGTCTTCCTCATCTTTCTTTTTACTTCTGGTTCGCTTTCTTTTCTTTATCTCGTGGGCCCTTCTTTCCTCTCTGCACAGTATCTGCTTGTTCCCGCCCTAGAGATTCCTTCGATGTCTCTGTCATCCTCGCCATCATTTCCGCTTTAGACTCTCATTTTGGTTCATCATCTGGTTTGCCCAGGGCCATCGTGTACAGTTGTGCTGGTGGTGTACTCTGCACGGTCACCTGGACAAAGTGGCCCAGTGGGAGTGGAAATCTTCCCTATATTCCATACGAACCCATGCCCTGGCCCGGCCTGTCTCCCTCCCTCCTGGTCTTCCCACCAGGCCTGACTGGACCAGTCTCCACTTTCTCTTCCCTCTTCTGGGTAACAGTTTTCCTCCCCTTTCTTGGCATAGATCCGCACAACTCTGAGGAAGCTGGCCGTATCTCCCAAATGGACCAACTATGGCCTCCGCATCTTTGGCTACCTGCACCCCTTCACCGATGGTGAGGCCAGCCCCAACGTCCCACCCTCCACTTCCTGCCCCGGAGTTCTTTAGGGAGTCCAGAGAACATAAGCCCGTGGCTGCGAAATAAGTCTGTCCTGGAACCCTGTTAGTACATCTTTGACGAGAAATCGAGTCCAGCTGCAGTCTCATCCAGTCCACCCCACCCCCAAGCTGTTTTCACTCCTTGACTTGCAGAGTCTGGATCTAGCTCACCTCTCTCTCTAGTCTTGCCACCTACGCAGTGTCTCCCAGGATGGAGAAACCTACTCTACAGGGGGGAAGCCACGCACCAAGCCCCCAAGAGAATTTAATGACTATACATAACACAGGCCTTCAGCCCTGACACTGATGTTCTTGCTCTCACCTGGACTCTCCCCCACTGCCTAGGGCCAATCCAGTTTGCCATTGCTGCAGACGACAATGCGGAATTCTGGCTGAGCCAGGACGACCAGGTTTCAGGTCTTCAGCTACTGGCCAGTGTGGGCAAGGTGGGTCAGCTCAGCCCATCTCCCTTGGTCCAGGTGCCAGGCATTGAAGGGGCCCCCGCCTCCATCAGTAGACTCTCATCACCACTAGTGTCTCTGGTGTGATTGCCAGGGAAAAAGGTGGGAACAAGAAGCGTCCTCTCACCCCATCCCATTTTACCCCGTGGTAAACGGAGGTGTGGGGAGGAGGAAGGAGTCAGCCTGAGGCTGGGAAAAGACCCCAGGGAGATTCATCTTTGGGCTGGGCCTGGGCCACATAACTCCTTTTGGTTCAAGACTCCTTAGCTCAGTGCTAAGGACTCACCCAAGGGGATGGATGCTGCGGCCCTTCTGGAAGCGGGGAGGTGCTTCTTGCATGGGTCACTTGGTCACTCCCTTAACTCCCTTCTGTTTTCTCTCCCATCATCACTCATCATCTTCCTTCCTCTGATCACTCTCTCTCTCAACTTTTCTCCTCATTCCTTCCTTTTTCTTCACTCACCACCTCTCATCCTTCATATTTTCTCCTTCCCTCCTTCTTTCACTCTCTCTCCTCACACTTGTAGACTGGAAAGGAGTGGACTGCCCCTGGAGAGTTTGGGAAATTTCGGAGTCAAATTTCCAAGCCAGTGAGGTGAGTGTGGAGTGTCAGGACATGCACAAGCGCGCCAAAGAAACCCCAACCTCCCCCAAGTGCTGAGGCCAAATCCAAGTCATAGAGCCCAGCCATCCTTCAGCCTGCCCCCTCCACTCCCCAGCCGTCCGTATTCACAGGCCTCAGTGTTCAGGGCACCCGTGCATTTTGGTAAATGAAGTCTTTGATTTAGAAACCATCTGGCGCATCATCCCTCATTTTACAGATGAAGAAACTGAGGCCCAGAGGGGCGATGACTTAATGAAGGTCTCCCAGCTATTTGGTGACACTCAGGACTGGAAAACAAAAATAGGTCTCCCTTCTCCCAGTCCTTGCCTTTCACATGTCCTCTGTACCCAAAGATGTCCACAGCTATGCAGCCCGAGCACCTGCTGCTCCGCCTGTGCAATGCAAAGGTCCCGGACCCTTGCTAGACTGGAGGGAAACAAAGGCCCTTCCCGCTGATAGTGGCTGGAGTCTAACATGCTGGAAGGGGGACTTAGCCCAACGTCAGAGCACCACCTGGTGGCTGACGCACACACAGCAAGAACATGCATTGGCTTGATGGTAATAAGAACAGTCCAGCTTGCAAAGAGCACTGCTCTGTGCCAGCCTCTGTGGTGCAATTCAGCATAACAGCTAACGACATGGGCTCTGAAACAAGCCTGCCGGTCCAAATCCCTCTCCATCACATTACCTCGGGGCTTTGGAAAACTGCCCAAGATTTCTGTGCCTCAGTGTTCTCATCTACGAGAAGGATTAAGCGACTTAATATATACAAAGCTCTTAGAACAGTGCCTAGCCCACAGTAACGACTCTATAAGGGTTATTTATTATTTATTTTTTATTCTCCCTATTGTCCTGTGAAGGAAGTACTATTATCATTGCCATCTTCCAGAAGAGAAAACTAAGGTTACACTGTTCGTAAGTGGTGGAGTGGGGACTCTAACCCAGGTGGTTAAATGACAAGGGAGTTTATAGGTGGGCGCAGTGGAAGAGTGGGGCAGAGGGGTGGCCACAGGGGCTGGAGACAGCTTTCCCTTTCTCTGCTCTCTCCTCCCGCCAGCCTGTCAGCCTCCCGCAGGTACTACTTTGAGGTGCTACACAAGCAGAATGACGAGGGCACTGACCACGTGGAAGTCGCAGTGAGTGTTCCTGCCCCTCCTAGCTCAGCTCCTAGCCACTCCTGTTCCCTCATCCCTTGGACCCTTTTCGAAATCTAGTATCTGCCAACCTTCCACATCCATATTCTCTCCTCTTCTAGTGGCGACGGAATGACCCTGGAGCCAAGTTCACCATCATTGACTCCCCTTCCCTGTCCCTCTTCACAAGTGAGTAGGCTCTGCCCCTCGCCTGAGATGGAGGCCAGGGGTACCCCACGGGAGGCTCAGCCACCTGGGGAACTGAGTCGGGGGTGTGGGGTGTGGAGGCTAAAGCTCAAGGTGCTTGGAACGTGGGTGTGAAGGGATAGGAATAGAACCTAAGATCAGAGGCCCTTTACTCTCAGGGGTCAGGGACCCCTTTGAGAACCTGATGGAAGCTCTGAGCCTTCGTGCACCCACAAACCATATTTTGTGTATAATTTCAAGGGGATCCAGAGACCACGAGGCTCACTCCACATGAAAAACCTGAGTGAGGCCAATCTCCTATGTCATAGATGAGGCAACCGTGGTTCTTTCCAAGCCATGGCAGAGCAGAGGAAACTGTTCTCACTGCTTTAAATTCTCAGTAAATGAACTCTTCCATCATACTCTTCATTGCTTATGATTTCCTTAGCAAGACTCTCATCTGGAGGTCCCACTAGGAATTGCCACCTGGCAAGTGGGGCCGTGTGCGCCCTGGGAGTAGGAAGAGCAGACAGGGCTAGAACCCTATAGGAGGAAGGAAGGCAGGGACTGTGAGGGGACTGGGATGCAGGGGGAGGCGTGCGTGTGAGAAGGGGGCAGGATGGAGGGAAAAGGGAAGGTCTGGGTTTGCTGGAGAGGGTGGCATCTATGGAACCGTGAGTGGGAGGAGATTGCCGGTGACCAAAGCAAGAGGCCACAAAGTCAAAGCAGAGGGACAGGTTGTGAGTTGCTGGGTTGCTGTGAGAGGCAGAGGAGAGAATTGGAATCCATAGATTCTATGTGAATCAAGAAGAAAGAGACCCCTAGCAAAGTTTAGGTAAGAAACTAATAGATGGACCAGATGTAACTAGCCTTGGGTGTAGGAGAGCTCTAGTTGGGGCTGAAGACAAATGAACTCAAGAGGCAGAGAGCAGAGACAGGCAACCAGCCCTCAGATGAGGAGCAGGGCTGCCCGGAACGCTAGGGGGCACCCTGCTCATGGTAGGCATTGCTAGTCTGTTGGAGCGGCAGCATAGTCTGCAGGCTGAGACTAGACTGCCAGGTTCAAACTGCCACTTATCAGTTGTGTGATCGTAGGCAAATGACTTAGAGTCTCTTTGCCACAGTTCCTTTTCTGTAAAATAGGAATAATAATAATACATGTCATGTGGTATTATGAAGATTAAATGGGTTATTTGGTTGGTTTGTTTTTTAATATATTTTTATTGATTTCAGAGAGAGAGGGAAAGGGAGAGAGAAACATCAATGATGAGAGAGAATCATTGATCAGCTGCCTCCTGCATGCCCCACACTGGGGATCAAGCCTGCAACCCAGGCATGTGCCCCGACCCGGAATCAAACTGTGACCTCCTGGTTCATAGGTCGATGCTCAACCACTGAGCCATGCAGGCCGGGCTAAATGGGTTATTTGTAAGATGCTTAGAACGTGCCTGGCTTATTATTTAGTAAGAACTATATATGTGTTTGTTCAATAAATTAAACATACTAGTACTTATAAAATGACAAATTCCTAGCAGATAGCTGTAAAACATTTTGAGGAAGGTGTATTCTTTTCCAATTCACACAAAAATTGTGGTGTGTGCTGGTCATGGGGCCAGTGGAGAGAGTCAAAGGGAGATAAAGACCTGAAACCACAAGTTATGGGTGGCAGGGCTAGAAGGAAGAGGGTCGAGCACATCCTGTACTGCCTCTGGTGGTGTACAGGAGCCTTGACTGAGCCTCTTCCCCGGCCCCTCAAAGAGACAGGGCCTGGGTTCTGGGCTGGGTTTGCTCCAGGGCTCACAGCTGCCCTCTTTTCTTTCCTCCCTGGCCCAGATGAGACGTTCCTAAGGATGGATGAGGTGGGCCACATCCCACAGACAGCAGCCAGCCATGCAGGCTCCCCAGACTCTCTTCCCACAGATGAGCAGCCCCTCGCTGACATGCTTCGGCCTGACCCCCGGGACACCCTCTATCGAGGTGAGGCCTCGGCTGCATACTTGTCACCCAGTCTGGGGACGGTATATGGCCAGGTCCGTGGTGTGGGTGGAGACTCAGGAGACCTGTCAGTTCTACCAGTGTCCCCAAACCCAGAAGATTGTAGTGTGGAATATAACATGCACACAGAAAACTACAAAAACATACATGTACAACTTTACACTACACAAATCATTATAGAGCAAACATTTGTGTAACTACTGCCCAGGACTAGAAAGAGAACTCGAACCCAGAAGTTCCCTGGGTGTCCCTCTGCAATCACAAACCCCATAGTTTCTAACTGGATTCTGGCTCTTCTTACCCAGTGAGAGAAATACTAGTATGTTCCCACTAAGGTGTCAGAGTCTTAAACACTTGGGAGTGTGTACATTTTAAAAGATGACAAAATCATGTCCTGCATCCCCCGCTTCTCAAAGGAAATTCAGTTATTGCACTGCACTTGGAAGTCTCTAAACCTTTATTGAGGCCAGCCCTGTACAGCGATCCCAATGCGATACTGTGCCTTGAACTAGGGAGTCTGAGTCCGCTGCTGCCAAGGTGCTCCGTGAATGCCCCTGCCCCAGAGGAGTGGTGCCAGCCCTGGTCTGGCAACCTCAGCCAATGGCCATGGACTCTGCCACAGCTGCCTCCAGTGAATACAAAGGTGCTGCTCAGGGCAGAGGACTTCAGCCTTCATCCCTCAGCCAGGAGCCTTTGGGGCTCTAAGCCAGCCCCTATTTCTGGCTCCCACTCCCCATCCTCATCCCCTTCCCTTACTGTCCTCAGTGCCTCTGATCTCCAAGTCTCATCTCCGCCACGTCCTGCCTGATTGTCCCTACAAACCCAGCTACCTGGTGGATGGGCTCCCCCTGCAGCGCTACCAGGGCCTCCGGTTTGTAAGTCTGGGGCCGGGACAGTGGGGGGCAGGAGTGAGAGAGGGCTTGTTGCCTATGGCTGAGATGGGGGGTTGCTGAAGCTGACTTCCCTCTCCTTCCCACGTCCCATACCAGCAGACAGGATGGCCTCCCAGGCCCCTGGGCTGGGAGAACGAGCATTCCAAGTTGCTTCTGGCCCAGGTGGACTGCCCTGCAAAGCCTGAGAGTGGAGTTCTGCCTTAGGGAACCCCATACACCAGTTCTGCCACAGTGATGATGTGAGGTGGGCTGGCATGAGGCTTCTTACACTCTTTGCTCCCTGGGCTACACAACCCTGAACTGCCCGGGTCAGTCCTACCAGCCAGTCGGCCAGCAGCACCTATTAAACTCATAGATAAGACACTGGAGAAATGAGCTATGGAGGGGAATGCGAGAGAACTTTCAGGCTGTGTGGAAACTAGAGAGGCAGAAGAACAGAGAGAGTGCTGGAGGCAGGAGAGAATGACCAGGACTCAGAGGATGGCTGGGGTGGCACAGAGAAGGTTTTGGGTGGTGATTGCCTTGAGCTATGTTTAAAGGGGGCAAAAAATAGTGAAGTAAATAACAAAAGGGGTTGTTCCAGGGTGGTGGGAGGTTGCAGGTAAAGGTGTAGAGGTTGTAGGAGAGGATAAGATGGCAGGAGGAGGAGGGAGGGTCTGCAGCTGAGAGAATGAGCTGGGTCGGGAGATGAGGGACGTGTGCACTGGAGAACTAGCCTGTAGGGGTTATGTTAGGCCCAGAGAGGAGGCATAGAGTGGAGTGGGCCCTGGCCAGTGCGGCTCAGTTGGTTGGAGTGTTGTCCCATACACCAACGGGTTGCAGGTTTGATCCGTGGTCGGGCATGTACGGAAGACAACCAATTGATGTTTTCTCTCACATTAATCTCTCTCCCTCTCTCTCCAGAATCAATAAGCATATCCTCAGGTGAGGATTCAAAAAAAGAGAGAGTGGAGTGGAATCCTGGTCTGCATGAGCAGATGTTGCATTCAGAGCTCAGAGCAGCCCTTCCCTCCCCACTAGGGCAGGTTCCTAGGAGAGGGGGAGGAGGGGGCAGGTGCAACTCTGGTTGGCTGATTTCTTACCAAGATCCCACCTTCTTTCTCCTGCTGCTTCTTTCTCTACCTCCAGGTTCATCTGTCCTTTGTTTACCCCAATGACTACACCCGCCTTAGCCACATGGAAACCTATAACAAATGCTTCTACCAAGAAAACACATTCTACCAGGACAGGTGAGCAACACTGAATGAGGCAAGAAGATGGCACTCTGCAGGAGCCAGGGGAGCTGCCTGGACCAGAGGGACTCAATGGCCCTTCCAGCCCAAGGAGACTTGGCCCTTCCTAGGCACTT